CTTAACACTCTTCGGCCTGTTTTTGATGCTTATGATAGAGGCTACAACTTTGGCGAACAGGGACTTTATTATGATATCAAGCGTAACCCTATCAACCACTTTAAGGCCTTCTATCAACTTTCTCGTCTCTTTGTACATCTTGGTTTGCCCGTCTTCAATTGTTTTCCTCTCCGGCGCTCATGGTCTCCTTGTTACGTTACTATCGACAGCAAGATTCTCTGCCAAAACATCCTGGGAATTCGATGGTCTAATGCTGTCGATAAACTGGACTACTGGCGCCGAGTTGTCAACCTTGACTCAAAAGCCCTCAAGCCGCAAGAAGGTGGACAACTTAGATTCCGTGGCACTATTCAAACTGATGTCGTTGGTGTCACGGTTCTCAAGAAGAGGTTCGACAGGCAAACAAGATACACGGCAAGGTTCACAGTGGAGTATGAAGCTACATCCTACATCACCAATCTAACTCGTCGAAATCATCAAGAGATTTCTGGTCGATGCGTCGCTGTGGACCCAGGAAGAAGAGATATGTTGTATTTTGTACACGAAAACTCTACACCAGAGCAACCAGTGAAATTTCGGTACACTAAACAACAGCAAGACAAGACGTGGAAAACCAAAAAGTACCGTTGAATCTTGCAAGATCTCAAAGCCCAGGGTCCTGATGTCGTTCAAGCTGAGCAAACCCTTTCTCAACAGCCAAGCAGCACCGTATCCGTAGAAGACTTTGGCCGCTTCCTTCAAGCCAGATCTAAACAGTCTGCCGTTCTCAGTCGATTCTATGGACATACCATCACAAACCATGATAATGGATACCCCCTCTTTCGCAAGATCCATCTTTCAGCGTACTTCAACAAACAACGTGCCGATTAAAAGCTTATTCAAGGCTTACGCGCCAAGTTTGGAGAAGACGCCGTGTTTGTGATGGGAAACTGGTCCGCTCTCCATGCTAGGTACCATGAGCCCATCCGTGGCCTTGGTTTCCGAAGACTCCTCAAGAAGCATGGGTTCCAAGCCTATCTTATAGACGAGTACAAGACCAGTAGGTGCTGTCCAACATGCCACAACGAAAGCCTCCGTACGTTCCGTCGTGTTCCAAATCTACGACCGTATCAACGTGAGTGATATCCTACTGCTGTCTGCCATGGTCTTTTAAGGTAATAATATATTAGCCACTTGGATGATTTTATACTGATTGAACATTGCTTGTAGATGTACCAATCTATACTGTAGACCCGCCATGGCAGCTCCAGATAGATATCGCTTATGGAACAGGGATGTTGCTGCTTGTCTCAACTACATGCACATCCTTCGTGAGCTTCGACGTAATGGCATGGTTCCTCATAGGTTTCGTCGGGTTGCTGTTGCTCCTACAAGACGTCGAAGAAGAATGGACGATCAGGAGCAACCAAGAATTAGAACACGCTTAGATGATGATCCTCCGTCCTAGTTATCGCTAGGACACATCTAGATGCCTTCGGAGTAAGTTATATATAATAATCCTTTTACATAACTAACTGTATAATTCTTTATA